CTAAATCAGGCCAAGTTTGTATTCCCTTTTATTGCAGAATAAGTTTTAATGCCCCAAATAAAATACCCATAGTTTTCTAGTGAAATTCATCCATCGAAGTGATGCTAGGCCTGGTTATAGATCTGTAAGAACTGGGTTATTTATCCTTCCATGGCTTCCATACTATTCTATTTCCACAAGTTCTCACCTCATTTCTCTAACTGGCATTAATCTGCATGATTATATCATCAATCAAAATACTATGCCCAACAGATTATTAACAGTTATTCCAGATCCACATCTTTCAGGTGGTAGAAAATAATTTTAAGGAGTTTTTTTTAGCTCTAGTATATGACATTTGGTTGGCAATTACTAAATTTATTATTGAATGACAATAAATCTCTCTACCTGGACAAATGTACCCTTCTTAGCTCTCCAAATAATGCCCATTGCCATAATCGAGGGGAAAATATATCACTAGACAACCCTACTTCAATGAACCCTTACCTGTGGAGTTCCTGACCACATTTACTTTTTAATTTGCCACATGTACCTGAAAATACACCATAAGTTTCTTGGGAGTAATTTTAGTGATTATTCATTGTAGAATAATAATAGAAAACCTAAAGTACTTACTCTGCCTCACAGACTTGAATGTACTGATCAATTAGCTTTGAGTTTTATGTTCTTCTCAATAACATATGACCATTTATCCTAACTCTGGTTCATGGCTAAGTTTGCAAAACATTCTCTCTTTGCAAAGGAGTTTATTAGAGTTTGCCATCATAGTAATTCCTTAGCGTAATATATTCCAGGTTTTACTTACTGTCCTGGCACTAAAGTTCTTCTGTATCCTCTGTATGCGCTAATTTTATACTATTCTCAATCACCACATCACAGCATTATTGGGGGATCTAGTCATTTCAGAGATAGACAGCCATAAATTCATGCTTAACAGATTTGCCCTCTCAAATCTTTTATTATGGTGGTTCTCAAAGTGTGGTTTTGGACCATTGATGAGCCACAGAAGAGAGGTGGGTAGTATTAATATTTGATTTTTGTTCATTGTACAAACATTAAATGAATGTTAGGGGAAGGCCATGTACTAAGTACTATAAAGGATATAAAGATTATTGAATTATAGTCTCTGCACTTAAAGGAGCTTGTAGTGTCTTAGGGGAGGTATGGACATAAATAATTATTGTTCTAACTGCCCAATCCATTCTCTACACAGCAGCCAAAATGTTTAAAATTCCATTGGGTTTCTGGTTGCATTGAGAATAAAATCCACACTTCTTACCAAGGTTCTACATAATCAGGCCCTTGCTGTCCTCCTTAAGTATTTTTAAAGCTCTTTTCTATTATAAATTCAATGAAATTATAGTCAAAATCCCCAAATTTTCACATGGAAAAATGAAAGAATTCTAAAAAGAAGAGTAATGAGAGGAAATTATCTATACCACACGCCATAAAGCTGTAAGTGATTAAAATATTATGGTAACTAGTGCAGAGACAGTTCAATGGGACAGAATGGAGAGTACAGAAGTTATCTTAAGTATGAAGTTGGCCCTCTGGGTTACACATCTGTGGATTCAGCCAACTGAGAATCAAAAATATTTGAAAATAATTGCATCTGTACTGAACATGTGTATATTTTTTGCTTTGTCATTATTACATAAACAATACACTATAGCAACTATTTACATAGTATTTGCATTGTATTAAGTATTATAAGTTATAAGCAACCTATAGATGATTTAAAGTATATAGGAGGATGTGCATAGGTTATATGCAAATATGACATGATTTTATATCAAGGACTTGAGCATCCTCAGATTTGGGTATCCATTCTGTGGGAGGGTGCCCTGGAACCAATCCCCCACAGATATCAAGGGATTACTGTATATGAGAATGTAGTATATGATAAAAGGGACATTTCATGTCAGTGAATAAAAGATGAGTTATTCAATAAATGGTGTTGGGACAACTGAGACAAAATGTAAAGGTGAAATTCCACCTCACTTTTTACACCAAAAATACAAACAAATCAATTATTAATATTAAGAATTTAAGAGG